GTGTCCGTACTGCTTACCCCTGAGGGAGACCCGGATGCACTTGACATCCCGACTCCGCGCTCTTACGCGGAGGCGATAGAGGGTCCTTACTCCTCTCAGTGGCAGGCAGCTATGGACGCAGAGATGGCTTCATGGAGGTCCACAGGCACCTACGTTGACGAGGTTCCCCCGCCTGGGGCGAACATCGTCAGTGGCATGTGGATTTTCAGGGTGAAGCGGCCGCCGGGTTCTCCGCCTGTCTTCAAGGCGCGTTACGTGGCTCGTGGCTTCAGTCAGCGGCAGGGAGTTGACTACTTTCAGACCTTCTCTCCCACCCCGAAGATGACCACTCTTCGGGTACTGCTGCACATAGCTGCTCACCGCGACTACGAGCTGCACTCTCTTGACTTCAGCACTGCTTTCTTGCAGGGCAGCCTGCACGAGGAGATCTGGCTGCGTCGCCCACCTGGCTTCACTGGGTCCTTTCCTCCTGGCACCCAGTGGAGCCTCCGGCGGCCAGTCTACCGTCTCCGCCAGGCACCGCGTGAGTGGCACGACACACTGAGGACTACACTTGCGGCTCTTGGGTTTGCTCCCTCTACTGCCGACCCGTCGCTGTTTCTGCGCACCGACACTTCTTTGCCGCCGTTCTACATCCTCGTGTACGTCGACGACTTGGTCTTCGCCACAGCTGACACTGCTGGACTCGCCCACGTGAAGTCGGAGCTGCAGAAGAGACACACGTGCACAGACCTGGGTGAACTGCGCAGCTACCTTGGCTTGCAGATCACCCGGGACAGAGCACGCCGCACCATTACCCTGACTCAGTCACACATGGTGCAGCAGGTCCTTCAGCGCTTCGGCTTCACGTACTCCTCGCCTCAGGCCACTCCTCTGCCTACTCGCCACTCGCTCTCAGCTCTGCCTTCGGATGAGTCCGTAGAGTCGAGTGGCACGTACCCAGAGCTTGTTGGCTGCCTCATGTACCTGATGACCTGCACACGACCTGACCTTGCATACCCTCTTAGCATTCTTTCACGCTATGTTGCTCCTGGGAGACACAGACCGGAGCACATGGCTGCAGCGAAGAGGGTGTTGCGCTACTTGTGCAGTACGTCGGGCATGGGGCTTGTGCTTGGAGGGCAGAGTCCAGTGGTCCTCACTGGGCACGCAGACGCTTCTTGGGCTGACGACCAGTCTACGCAGCGGTCGTCACAGGGTTACACCTTCAGCCTTGGTTCCGGCTCTGTTTCGTGGCGGGCTACCCGCTCGTCTTTGTCAGAATATTATGCTCTAGCCTGTAGTGGGGTGCTCTATAGCGAGTACAATCCTTCTAGGGTTTGCTATTTGTATCCTCATTCTTGCTAGTGCAACCCTCCTTCTTCTTTTTAAACTTTCACATGCTATCAGAGCAGGTCGATCCCCTTGGATCGATCCTGTGGGTGGGCTCACCACCTCGTTGCTTCCACTGCAACTTCCACTACTACCTTCTGTGCCGCACGCCCCGTGGCGTGCGGCAGTTTTTCTTCCCGCCGTGCGCCCCGAGGCGCGCGGCGGTTTTCTGCCCGCCGTGCGCCCCGTGGCGCGTGGCGGTTCTCTGCCCGCTGTGCGCCCCGAGGCGCGCGGCGGGCTTCTACCCCGTCACTCGCCGCGTCGCCCTCGGGAGGCGCTGCGACGGGCGACGGGGACCCGCGCGTCGCCCCCCGTCGCCCGTCGTGGCCTGCGCGCGGCCCGTACAGCCGGCGCGCGGCCCGTACGGGCTGCGCCAGGCCTGCGCGCGGCCCGTACGGGCTGCGCCAGACCCGCGCGCGGCCCGTACGGGCTGCGCCAGACCCGCGCGCGGCCCGTACGGGCTGCGCCAGGCCCGCGCGCGGCCCGTACGGGCTGCGCCAGGCCCGTGCGCGGCTCGGGCCGCCTGCGCGCGGTTCGGGAGGCTGTGCCAGGCCCGTGGGCGGCCCTTTCCTCGCTGCCCCTGCCCTCCCCGCTGTCCCCCGTGCTTCTGCTGGCGCCCCACCCCTCCTACAGCCCGTTCTCCTGAATTAGGGTTTGGGGGTGAGGGGTATGGGGGTGAAACTACTGTGTGCCGTTCCCTGCTCCTCCTCCTCCTCCGTCTCCCTGTGCTGCAGCTGCCGCTGAGGGGGGGTGGACTTGTTGGAGCCGTTGGAGTGGTGCTAAGGGGGGGTGAAGGGGGAGTGGAGCTAGCGGTGTAGCAGCGGGTGTGTGTCAGGAGGGGTGGTACTGTTTGGGGGAGGTCGAGTGGAGGCAGCAGTCTTGTCGTCAGCAGCAGCAGCAGTCCGGAGGCTACAATCTCCGGTAGTCGCCAGTCGCCCGTGGGTCCGTTGCTCGTCTGCCGCTACTTTTAGCCGCGGGGCCAGTTACCCCAGTAGTCCGGAGCGTTGTTCCGGTAGCCACTGAGCCAGCAGCTCGTCTGTGTGTCTGCAGCGTTAGCAGTCGCCTCCCATCTTCTCTCCCCCACAGTCTCTCCTCCTCCTCACTTGCCCTCTGCGATAGCCTCTAGCTTTGCTCATAATTGTGAACTTTAAACTATTGCTTCTTGAACTTGTGCTCAGAATGTGTGGTGACATTGTGATCCACCCTGAGCTTGTACTGCTGTGCTTGCTCTGCTGATTACACCCCACTTTGGCTATGGGGGTGTGTCAGAATATTATGCTCTAGCCTGTAGTGGGGTGCTCTATAGCGAGTACAATCCTTCTAGGGTTTGCTATTTGTATCCTCATTCTTGCTAGTGCAACCCTCCTTCTTCTTTTTAAACTTTCACAGTCTTCTGTTCTCGGCTCCAGTTGTGAGGCTGAGATCTACGCCGGGGCCATGGCTGCACAGGAGCTTCGCTGGCTCACCTACCTGCTCACTGACCTCGGAGAGCCGCCTCGTTCTCCTCCAGTGCTGTACGTAGACAACAAGGCCATGCTGGCCTTGTGTCGAGAGCAGAGACTGGAGCACAGAACGAAGCACATTGCTCTCCGCTACTTCCTTGCTCGTGAGCTACAGCAGCGTGGTCAGCTACGGCTTGCGTACGTGGCCTCTGAGGCCAACACTGCTGATATCTTCACCAAGGCACTTCCGCCTTGTGATCATCAGCGCTTCTGTACTCAGCTGGGTCTTGTGCCTACCTTGCCTCACTTGCTCACCCCTTGACCTTGCTTGTACTGTTGCATATATATATATACTCCTGCTCTTGCTTGTCTAGCCTTATATATATATATGCAATCCTGCATGTGAACTGGCCTTGTGGCCTTGAACTTGTGCTCGGAATGTGTGGTGACTTTGTGATCCACCCTGAGCTTGTTCTGCTTTGCTTGACTGGTCTTGTGACCCCTTGTTCTCCCCCACTTTGCCTATGGGGGTGTGTCAGATTTATATGACATAGCTACTGTAGGCTATAGTGGGGTAGCACATATGGGGTACAGTTTTCTAGGGTTTGCTTTTGTACCCAACTTTCCTTTAGTCATTCCATTCCTCGTTTCTTCTCAACAACACCTTTACAGGTGCTGCACCTGTTAACCCTATAATAAAATTATATAAGCTAACGTTTTTTTACGTACAAACACGGATCACACCAGCCTAGCTTGCACAACCTTGCCAAAGTATGCAGCCCGAAGTCTCACGCGTGTTAATACTTCTATATGAACGACTGTATTGGGAGAGAACAGAGGGGTGAGGAGGGTGTGGGGGAAACCGTAAGCACAAGGTGGAAAAAAAACTTGGGGGTAGTCGGGAGGATGGGAGAGAAAACCAGAGATGGTGCAGTCAGACTCGGTAGCAGTGCGCTAGCACCAAGAAGCGAGGCATGTTTTCTGGGGGGGCGGCATATAATAACATGGAAAGACGAACTTACCGTCAAAGCCACTCCCAGCGGCAGATCCGCATCTCTCGCCGCCACTATCGGCGGCAGAGCTAAGGCAGGAGAGCATCGTCTGCATGCATTTCCGACGATGACCGGTATAACCGTGGCGACGCTCTCTGATTAGACAAGCAGGAAAAATGGGGACGTTGGAAAGGGAACGCGAAGAAGGGGAAACGAAAAACAGAGTGAGAATAGGTTCAGCCGGAAACAACAAAAGCTATCAGAAACTTCGTAAAGAAGCACAAAACGAAGCTGAAAATACAGGTCGAAGCGTTGAACAGGCACGTAGCATAATACAGCAAGACACAGAGCAATAAAAGGACTATTAGGAACGGCAAGAATGATTGATATGTAAAATTCAAACAAATATGAAATAACAAGTCATCTTAGCAGCGCACCTCTCAGCGAGCTTCACTGAATCATCTGCAAACACCCTCGCATCTGCTCACACACTATCGTTGTCGCGCACGAACACATCTGCCGACAAGGAAAAAAAAAACGCCGAAGGGCGATATCATAGGAGCAGGAGACTGATGACCTAACAGCTATCGAGCAAAAAAAAGCAAGCTGACTGCAAATCGAGGGGAAGAGGAGGGAATACAAGATGGCTGTGCCTTGGGGCAGTTGAGCGCAATGCCTTGCGCCGCTGTCGTTTTGTCGTTTCGCGTTTTGTTCCTCGTTCAAATTTTTTTTTTTTTTCACAACTGTACTAAGGAGAAACAGTTACTGATTTCAAGAAAAGCAGAGGTGCAACGCAGTACAATACAATTAGGTGGGGTTAAAACGTTTTCAAAGCTCCAGTAAACAGTCGCGCGTGCAGCAAAACGTTGAAAAGCGACAAACGATCCCATCAGTAGCAGCTTTCGCGCAGGTTCCTCCAGAATCGAGCAGCATTGCCAAAGTACAGGTTGCAGCAACTATGCAGCAAGCGACAAGAGACGCGCATGTCACATGCTGAAATCACCAAACCCCAAATTACCTTCTATCTGCCCGTAACGTTGTTCATATGAGTACAGATTGTCATATCAGACGGCTACGGAAACAGCACACACTATTTTCAAAACATTCTCCCTAGACTGCCCGCACAGTTGCAATTATGTGGAACAACAAAAAAATGTGACTCGTCACCGCTGCTGAATACTGTGCAGTCCCACACATGTCGTTGCTAGAAGCCAGCCGTTCATCTGCCGCACTGAAAACCGAAGACCGGTCGCATAGGGACAGTATTGTCAAAATAGTTTCTATGTTGTGTAGGCTCTAGTGGGGTAGCCTATACTGGGTACAACACATTAGGGTTAGCACTACTTGTACTTCACATTCATGCTAATGCATCCAATCCTGCCTCATGATTGTGACATGGTTTCAGAGCATGTAGGTATCTAGGACCGTATTTTTAAGGGCCACCGTTCGTTCTGCCCTGCCCGTTTTTATGTCAGCCCTGCCCCTAATGATCGCGACCCGGCCGCCCACTAGAGCCGCCCTGCCCCAAGCGTTCGAGTCTGCCCTGCCTCGTGCACTGCCTTGACCGCGCTGGCCTGCAGCCCGTGCGCCCTGCAGCCTGCGCTCCTACGCGCCATGCCCGCGCGCCCTGCCGCTCGCGCTGCCCTGCAGCCCCCTGCGCCTCCGCTGCCCGCGCCCCACACGCCCTGCCACGCCCCGCGCACCCTGCTGCCCGCGCCCCGCGCGCCCTGCAGCTCGCGCTCTACCCTGCCCGAGCTGCCTTGCAGCCAGTGCGCCCTGCCCCCGCGCCCTGCAGCCTCCGCTGCCCTGCAGCCCGCGTGCATGCGCTGCCCGCGCCCCGCGCGCCCTGCCGCGCTCCGCACGACCTGCTGCATGCGCCCCACGCGCCCTGCTGCCCGCGCGCTACCCTACCCGCGCTGCCCTGCAGCTCGTGTGTCCTGCAGCCCGCGCGCCTGCACGCCCTGCCTGCGCGTCCTGCAGCCCGCGCGCCTTCGCTGCCCGCGCCCCGCGCGCCCTGCTTCCCCCGCCCCGCGCGCCCTGCAGAGCGCGCGCTGCCCTGCCTGCGCGCCCTGCAGCCCGCGCTGCCCTGCAGGCCGCACGCCTGCGCTGCCCGCGCCCCGCGCGCCCCGCTGCGCCCCGCGCGCCCTGCTGCCCGCGCCCCGCGCGCCCTACTGCTCCTGCGCCCTGCAGCCCGCGTGCGCATACTGCCCCGCGCGCCCTGCTGCCCCGCGCCCCGCGCGCCTTGCAGCTCCTGCGCCCGCGCCCTGCCCTAGCCACTACGGCTGCCACAGTCGCAGCACCTCCCACTACAACAGCTGCCGCCATCTCTGCTGCTGACTGTCACTGCCCGTCATGGCCACGCCACTAGTCTTAGCGGTTGACGCCGACGGACGGCCGTACAGGTTAGGCTTGTGGCTTATGTGCCTGCGCGTGCATCTCCGGCGATAGCGTCTCCCTACTCGAGCACACGTCGGGATCCCTTCCGGCCCCGACGACTCCCACTGAGCCTGCTGCTGGTGCTGGCGAGGACGTGCAGAGGCGGTACCGGGCAGACAGCCTTGCCTACAGACAGTAGACGGAGTGCGACGCTGTCGCTCAGCGTGCCGTCCGATCTCTCCTGTCAGTCGACCAGAGGGATCACTTTCGACAGGTGACATCGACCCAGACTTTATTCGACGCTGTTGTTAGACACTACTCCTCCCTCTTGCCTGCCACCCGGCCACTACAGCAGAGCCGTCCGTTGTTTGAGGAGGCCAGTGTAGGTAACTGTACGTCTGCTCCTGCAGGTGGTGCCACTAGTGGAGGCGGTGGTTCTGGGGGTGGTCAGCAGCGTCAGCAGGAGACCCTCTCGCCGCAGCAGCTTTGGGAGTGGGTTTCTCAGCGACGCGTCCCTGGTAGTGTAGAGGCTACCAGTCTAGGTGCCTGTGAGCCTACTAGCACAGGTGCAGCTCTGGTGGAGGCTTTGCACACCTTCACGCTTGACTCAGGCGCGACTCGCTGCTTCTTCCGCGACTCCACCACAGTCACACCACTCACTGCACCTGTCCCGGTAACTCTGGCTGACCCCTCTGGGGGCCCAGTCATAGCACGTGCCTCCACCGTTCTCCCGTGTCCGGCCGCCCCTTCCGGCTCGCTTGCAGGCCTCCACCTCCCCTTGTTTACTACGAACTTTGTGAGTAACGCTGTCCTCCAGGACCAGTTTGTCACTATGACTACTCCTCGGGTTGAGCTTGTGGCGATCTGTACGGACTAACGGACTGGCGCCCACCTCGCCACGATCACTCGGAGACCCGGGTCTTGCCTGTACACACTGACCACTGAGTCTGCACAGACTGGAGCACAGAACGAAGCACATTTCTCTGCGCTACTTCCTTGCTCGAGAGTTGCAGCAGCGTGGTCAGCTTCGTCTTGCTTACGTGGCCACTCGGGCCAACACTGCTGATGTGTTCACCAAGGCGCTTCAGCCTTGTGATCATCAGCGTTTCTGTACTGTTCTAGGCCTTCTGCCTACTGTGCCTCACTTGCTTACTTCCTGACTCTGCTTGTACTGTTATCCTTATATATGTCTACTTGCATGTTTACACTTGCTAGGTTGTGATCACTGTATTTCTTGTTGTATTATAAAACTGCATGTGAACTGGTCTTGTGACCGCTTGCTTGTGCTCGGAATTTGTGTGGTATCCTTGAGATCCACCCTGAGCTGTGCTTTGCTTTGCTTTGTTCTCTCCTTTGGCACCACTGCTTTGGTCACCCCTCCCTGTCGGGCCTGCGTGGCATGCACTCTCGTCTCCTTATCTCTGGCCTCCCCAGGTCCCTGCCCCCGCCCCCGCGCTCGCTTGCACCGCCGTGCCTTCCCTGCGTCGAGGGGCGGCAGCGCGCCGCTCCTCACTCCTCCTCGTTTCCTCCGACCACTGCTCCTCTACAGACTCTCCACATGGACGTGTGGGGCCCCGCCCGCATCCGTGGACAGGACCACGAGCGCTACTTTCTGCTGGTTGTTGACGACTACACGCGCTACACCACGGTCTTCCCCTTGTAGAGGAAGGCGGATGTCTGGTGTTTTGATCCCCTGGATCCGCACTGTTCGTCACCAGCTGAGCTCGCGGTTTCAGCAGGACCTTCAGGTCATGCGACTGCACTCTGACAGAGGCGGTGAGTTTTCCTCCCGCCTCCTTGAGTACCTTTTTCGTGAGGAGGGCACCGCCAAGTCGTTCACGCTTCCGGCCTCTCCACAGCAGAATGGGATTGCGAGGCTGCTCGCACCTCCATGATCCATGCGGCTGCCCCCCATTTTCTGTGGTCGTTTGCGGTCCGATATGCCGCGCATCAGCTCAACCTCTGGCCACGTCTCTCTGTGCCAGAGACCTCGCCTACACTGCGTTGGACGGGGGAGGTTGGCGATGCGTCACCGTTTCGGGTCTGGGGCGCGCTCTCCCTTGTCCGCGATACCACCGCGGGCAAGCTCTCTCTTCGCACTCTCCGCTGCGTCTTCCTTGGCTTCCCCACCGACGCCCCGCCTTGGCAGTTTTACCACCCTGCCTCGCGCCGCGTCCTGTCTTCCCAGGACGTCACCTTTGACGAGTCGGTCTGCTTCTACCGTCTCCACCCGCACGCGTCTTCTCCAGTCCCCCCTCCGCCCCTCTTCCTGGTTCCAGGTCCCCCCCTGGTAGACCCCCTACCCCCACATGGTCTTGCTCCCTCAGGGGTGTCCCAGGTCGACCCACCCCCCTTGGTTGAGCCTTTGGAGGTCTCCTCTGACACCTCTGGCCCAGCTGAGGGGGGTGACCCCGCTGCTGACGACACATCGGCCACTCGCCGCTCCCCACGCTTGGAGACCCCTCCTGGTTTTCAGCCTCGGCCGTCTTCGCCACCTCCGCAGCCTGTCGCTATGGACTCTGGTGCTGCTGGGGGTGGTGACACTGGGGGTGAGGACTTTGGAGGTGCTGATCCTGCGGGTGCTGACTCTAGGGGTGCTGAGTCTGGGGGTGTTGGTTCTGGGGGTGCTGACTCTGGGGGTGCTGCGAGTCCTAGTGGTGGTGGGGTCGTGGGTGCTCCTGCTTGAGGTTCTGGCGTTGGACAGCAGCTGCAGTCTCGTCGACAGGAGACTCTCTCGCCGCACCAGCTTTGCGAGTGCCGCTCTGGTGCTGGAGCTTGGGGTACTTGTGCTGGAGGTGCTGGAGCTGCTGGTACTGGAGGTACTGAAGCTTCAGGTACTGGAGCTACTGGTGCTGGAGGTGCTAGAGCTGCTGGTACTAGAGGTGCTGGTGCTGCAGGTACTGGAGCTGGAGGTACTGGAGCTACTGGTGCTGGAGGTGCTGGAGCTGGAGGCACTGGAGGTGCTGTAGCTGGAGGTACTGGAGGTACTGGAGCTACTGGTGATGGAGGTACTGGAGCTGGAGGTACTGGATGTTCTGGCGTTGGACAGCAGCTGCAGTCTCGTCGACAAGAGACTCTCTCGCCGCAGCAGCTTTGCGAGTGGGTTATTCGGCGAGGTCGCTCTGGTGCTGGAGCTTGGGGTACTGGTGCTGGAGGTGCTGGAGCTGCTGGTACTGGAGGTACTGGAGCTTGAGGTACTGGAGCTGCTGGAGCTGGAGGTACTAGAGCTGGAGTTCTGGAGGTGCTAAAGCTGGAGGTACTGGAGCTACTGGTACTCGAGGTGTTGAAGCTGGAGGTGCTGGAGGTGCTGGAGCTGGAGGTGCTGGAGCTACTGGCGGTACAGGTACTGGTGGTGGAGGTGCTGGAGGTGCTGGAGCTGCAGGTGCTGGAGCTACTGGCGGTACAGGTACAGGAGGTGCTGGTGCTGGAGGTACTGGAGCTGGAGGCTCCGGTACTGTGGGTGCTGCGCCGCGGCGACCGTTTTTCTTCCCGCAGCCGCAGTCGTCACTGCCACCACCTGCCACCACCATCTTCCACTGGCCTTACTCCACCTCTCCTGTGCCCTCCGCCTGACCAGTCACAGCCACCGTTACCGCGTGGCTCCCCACTGCCTGCTCGTAGACTTTGCTGCCACCTGTCGTCTCGACTACGTCGCGAGTCTTGTTACTGAGTCTGAGTCTGGCTGTCCTCCGTCTGTCGGGGGTGAGCTTGCCCTTGGCAGTGACGTCCTTGAGGACAGGCAGTTTGAGCTTGAGTGCCTCACAGCTGTTGTACCTCATCTCGCGTCCATGCTGCTTTGCCCTGAGGGAGACCCGGATGCACTAGACATCCCGACCCCGCGCACTCACGCAGAGGCGATAACGGGTGAGTACTCCTCTCAGTGGCAGACAGCCATGGATGCAGAGATGGCTTTCTGGAAGTCCAGAGACACCTATGTTGACGAGGTCCCCCCTCCTGGGGCGAACATAGTCGATGTCATGTGGATTTTCAGAGTGAAGCGGTCACCAGGTTCTCCGCCTGCCTTCAAGGCGCGTTACTTTGCTCGAGGATTCAGTCAACGACAGGGGGTCGACTTCTTCCATACCTTCTCCTCGACCACGAAGATGACTACTCTTCGGGTGTTACTGCACGTTGCAGCCCAGCGTGACTATGAGCTACACTCCCTCGGCTTCTCCAGAGCTTTCTTGGAGGGCAGCCTTCACGAGGAGATCTGGCTGCTCTGCCCACCTAGCTTCACTGGGTCGTTTCTTGATGATACCCAGTGGAGCCTCCGGCGGCCAGTCTACGGTCTCCGCCAGGCGCCCCGCAAGTGGCACGACACACTGAGGATGAGACTTGCGGCTCTTGGGTTTACTCCTTCGGCTGCTGACCCGTTGCTGTTTTTGCGCACCGACCCTTCTCTGCCGCCGCTCTACATCCTCGTGTACGTTGACGACTTGGTCTTTGCTACTGCCGACATTGAGGCGATGACCCTTGTGAAGGCGGAGCTGCAGAAGAGACACACATGCACTGACCTGGGTGAGATGCGCAGCTATCTTGGCTTGCAGATCACCCAGGACAGAGCACGGCGCACCATCACTCTGACTCAGTCACACATGGTGCACCAGGTCCTACAGCGCTTCTGCTTCCAGTTCTCCTCGCCACAGTCCACTCCTCTGCCTACAGGCCACTCGCTCTCAGCTCCACCTTCGGACGAGTCCGTAGAACCGAGTGGTCAGTATCCAGAGCTTGTGGGCTGCCTCATGTACCTGATGACTTGCACTCGACCTGACCTCGCGTACCCTCTAAGCATCCTGGCGCACAGAACGAAGCACATTGCTCTTCGCTACTTTCTCGCTCGAGAGTTGCAGCAGCGTGGTCAGCTTCTCCTTGCGTACGTGGCCTCTCGGGCCAACACTGCTGATGCCTTCACCAAGGCCCTTGGGTCTGGTGATCATCAGCGTTTCTGCACTGCTCTAGGCCTTGTGCCTACTCTGCCTCACTTGCTTGTCG